TCAAACAGGGGAGCTCTGGTGGCCTAGTGGCAAGGAGCTGCAACTACAATCCCAGAGATGCACGGTTCGAATCCACCAGATGCTCTGCTGGGGAAGGAGGGGCAATCTCCTCCTGCACCAGTCAGATCGGATTTGACGGTACACACACACAAAAATAATAAAAAGATTTAAAAAAAAAAGTTCAAACAAAAAAAAATCTTCAATAGCAGTTTGTCTTTTGACTTACAGATCCATGATTCTGACTTATAGAGCCATGATTAAAAAGGTATATGGAAAAAAAAAGAATTTTTAATACATATAAAATAAATAGAGAAAGACAGAGAAAAGTCAATTTTGATATTTTACAAAAAGGGGGGAATAAAAGTAAACTTGAGAAGGAAGTAATCCAGAAAAGCAACCAAGACTGCTAGGCTGATGTAGCAACAGATTTGTTGTAACTTAAACATTCTTATTAGAAACATAATTAAGGCAAAAATTACTTTAGATTAACAGTGGTAGAGTAGCTGAAGAATGCAACAAATCATTGCGATATTACATTAAAACAAAATTGATCAAATGGACATAGATTCAGTCTGTTTGCCGCATTTTCATTTAACATCTATTGCCAAAATAAACGGTTAAGTTTAGGAGGGAATTGTTATTATGTCTTATTATGCAAAATTAAGTGTATGAGTGATAAATAAAATACAGAGATTGAAGAATTAAGAAAAACTGGGAATCATGCGTAAATACATATAATAAAACATTATGTTGAATTTGTGACATTTTATCCAAGACACTAGATCCATTACAGAGTACAGTTGAGAATTAGGCACTATTTTTATAGAGAAAAGGATCCATGGTACATATATACAAATGTTAAACATTTTGGACGCAGGACAGTTCCGAAAGGCAGGCAAGTGTAGGGTAGGCTGCCAAGCACACCAGTACCTCTCAGTCTTATGTCTGAGCTATGAACAAATAAAGAACAGTTATCAGCAACTCCTTATCAACTAAAGCAATGAAAATACTGCCACTGTGATATTTAAGGATAAAAAAATGAAAAAGAAAAAAAAATAAAGAGGTAAAATGTTTAAAAGTTACCTCAAATATAATGTTACTGCAGGGCATACCAAATAAAGCAAAGGGAAAAAAAACAATAGTATTCCTGAGTGACACCTAAATTTTAATTCAGGAATATATTTTAAATTTACTTTGTTTTTTAAAGAAGCACTTAATTACTAAGAAAGGCTGTTCTGTATTTAAAAGAGTTAAATACATGAAACACTTAACATTTACAATGCAGCCCTGTTCCTTCAAGATCAGACACGATGCTGGGTACAGGTGTAATCACGTGAATGCACAGTACAAGGAAGTGTCAGAAGTGTCCGGGGAAGAGTCCTGGAGTTGAAACTCTTCACTGTCAACCCTGAGCCAGGTTTTCCTTTTGAAGCACGTTCAGCTGGATGTGTCTGCCCGGCGGGAGCTCTGGGGGCCCAGCCTGCAGTGACTTGTGCTCTCCACGACCGTCTGGTGCCTCAAATCCAACAGCACCTCCAAATCAGAAAGACGGCTCTGTCCTTTCACGCGATCTCCAGCCACAGCCTCGAAACCCAACAGAGGGTCCGCCGAGTTGGTCCCAAGTGGACGCAGTGAGCGTGACAGTGACCTCATCGCCACCCACACCCAAACACCCCCTGCCCGTCCTTCTTCACCCTGTCACACCCGTTCCTATTCTGTCACTTCTTCTTTTCTCCCCTTCATCACCACCTCCCAGCTCTCAGGCTTAGCATCTGTGATAGAACCTGAACTGGTTCTCACTGAAATGTACCAGGTTATCATTTCATCAATCTGTCAATCTTATTCTAAGTTTTTAAAAGTAAAGAAGAAAAGATATTTTAAAACTTTTACAGAGACATTAAAAAAAAAAAAGATGCTGTTACTGATTTTCATAGGAGAAAATAAAAACAGCATCAAAGGCGCTAACTGGTTCCTAGAAACCAGTTTCCATTCAGACACTGGTTTTCCACCACCCTCCCCTGAAAGACCCAGGTTCTGGGTGTCCTCAGCCTCCACCCGGCCCCTGGAGGTGCTCTCTGCTCTCCATCAATGTTCAGGAAGGTGGTTCCTGAACAGGTAGGAGTAACAAGGGGGTAAAAAATGTAGGAAGAAAAACTCTGTTCCCTGTGTTATTAGGCAAAGAGCCAACCCAATTGTACTGTCTCTCCTTCATCATCCAAAACAAAGTCCTGCACATGATAATAGAGATGTCCCTTTCGTCAAATATGTGCTGTAATAGCTGAGTTACAATGGGCATGGAAGTGTATGGGGTAGAGAGAAGAAATAATAAATTCACGCTGTTAAATATGAAACTAGAATTTGTCTAGAGAAGCCCGTATCTGTGTGTACTCAGGAACTGTAATACCAACGTATGCAGGTCTGCGATCCACGAATGTGAGGTATCCAAGCAAGGATTTTATTCGGCTCAACACAGGGCAAAGCAATAGTGAAGACAACTGCTATTTTTAAGGTGAGCTAGGCTGGCGCCGTAGAAAGTGAGGGCAATGGCCTCTCCAAAGCTCCAAAGTCTGGAACTGTAAGCAAGCTTAACGCCGAGACCCTTCAAAAAAGTGCAAGGTGAAATAAACGGACAACAGAAATTACGTTAGCAGGGCACTGGCAAGAAACAGGACTCCACAAGACGCTGTACCAACTACGTCAGGAGACAGCGAAGCCTCAACAGACATTGAGGGTCTAAAAGGTGCTTTTTAAAAAAATTTTGTACATTTAGTGATTTCTAAATTGCAAATATAAGAGGTACTTCTTGTTGTTGTTATTGTGGTGACCAGCGCTGCAGCTGTGTCAATCCATGTCGCTGAGGGTCTTACTTAAAACGTGGGTGTTGTTAATACAGACTAGAGCCCTCAAGTAGTTGTCTAATAGACATTAAAGACTAAGAGAAAAGGAAATAAAATGGCATCATTATTAATAAATAAAACCTTTAAATCCATGGTAAAGAGTATGTTTTGTACATATGCATTTTAGAAATATTACAGAAAAAGAATTACAAGTTAGCTGGGGCTATTTCTCCAAATTTTTCTTATCACAGGATATTTTTCTCGGATTAGAATTATGTATGCTATATATCTGCACTTACCTTCACTTACCTTTAATTCCTCTTTAACTTAAATTAGAAACCTAAAAGAGCAAATCATCGGAGACTGGCCCCAAGGAGCTACACTCACAAATTATACACACTGAAACGCATATCAGTACGCAGTGTTTCCAGGCTACCACTGTCCAAATATCCTTCCATATGCTAAGACTAAGCAATTCCACATAAGGCACCACAAAGCACAAGGCTAGGTTTTTTTTGTTTGCTTATTTTTAATATTATGGCTAAAAAGCTTCCTTTTCTATTTAATCTGAAGCTTCTCAATCAAACAACAAACTTTAATGCATGAAGCCTCGTCCCAGGAGAGCTGCGTTTTCCATCCGTACTTAAGCCGGTGTCTTGATCTCAGCAGTTTCTTGCTGACTGCTGCCGCTCTCTCTACGCTGCCCATCACTCCACATTCATCTAGTTAACGAGTCTGGCTCATCAGAACTTCTTCCAATTGGCAAGCCAGCAGGCTACCCACATAGAATTCGTTTCAAAGCGGAGTATACATTAGTCACTTAAATATGCTTCCTCATGTGCCAGGACCACACAGAAAACACAGTGAAGATTTTCAGAAATTAACAACAACAAACAACAACAAAAAAACCAAATGGGAGGCCTCCAAGGCATTCCTTAAATACATACTAAGCCAGCCAGGTCATCGAAAAATGCTAGACATGTAGTTACCACCTTGAAAACTGGCTATAATGAAACTTTACCCCCACATGTCGTCGTAAGGAAAACATTCCACCAGAGTATCCTTTATGGCTCGAACTTTGGAACTCGTCTGCATAACAGAGCCTCTCGATTCTAGTAACCCCACATCAGGCTTTAATAAGCAATGGAAGGAGACTTAATACTGGATTATTCAAGCATTACCGATTTCCTTCCTAATCTTTCAAAGTCAGGTATCTTCATTAAAATTCATTTGCTGCAAAGTACCAAACATTTGTCTGGGGAGGGGGAGGGAATTCTTACATTCAAGCAACAGCAATCCAGTGGCAACTTGGAACACCTCAATTTTCCAGATTGAAAACCAGTGAAGATGGAAGGGCTCTGACACGCTACCAAAGTGCAAGAAATTGTAAATATTTAACTTGATTCCATCATCGTAATTCTTTCAAGAGGTTTAAGACAGACCGAGAGAAAACAAATAGGCAGTTCATAAAAATGAACTGAAACTCATCCTGGAACATCTACATACCTAAAGACAACGTGAGCATTTAGGCGGCAACATTCCTTTCCACAAACATCACCTATGCTGACATCAGCATGGATAATTCAACTGGGATACACTCATCAGATTTTAAAAGATGTTTTACTTTTTATAACAAGTGCTATAAATAAGCTCTAGGAGGTACATCCATTGAACAACGACAGACCTACACTAAAATATCCTCTCTTTCAGAACTCAAGAAATGACTCAAGAAATGACTGTTTTATTATAGCCATCAGACTTGGCTCTTGCAGGCCTAGCAAACAGCTAAAACGACATTCATTCTCAGGATTCCGGGCCTACAGACTGGCAGCAAAGAAAGGCTCTAGCTAACACTGCAATGTCAAGAACACAGCGGGTCACGTCCCACATCACCCATGGGAATCCAGAAACAAGAATGTGACCATGTTTCTTCATATGTATGTTAAGGAAACGGTAAGACTTGCAAAACAGCCCCTTCGTTCATGTATGTGTCCCGTGTGCATCATCAAAGAGCACCTGCTGACCTGTCACGGGCTCAAAGAGGAACCCGCCGCTCTTCCTGTGATCTCGGGAGGAGCCAGGGTTCAGAGACAACAGAGACTGGGCGCCAGGCACAGCTGAGTCTAAGCCCTCGAAACGGGTCCCCTGTTATAAATCAGGAGGCTGCTGTGCTTCTGAATGGCTGAGGAGCAGTTTGTTAGCACTGAGGATCTTCCAGTGTCTACCAGGTGACTATCAATGCCTAACGGGACACTGACTGTACTCTGAAAAATCCTACTAACAGGTGCACTGAGGATGGGATGGCCGTGAAAGCGAGAGACAAATCCAGCAATGCCTGCTCACTTCACGCCAGACTCAGAGACTACAGCCTCTTGGCCTTTCCAGTCACTTCTGTCTTCTGGGTGACTTGCTGAGGACTAGATCCAGAATTCCTGAGGACTCCCTGGCCCCAAAATTTTCCACTTCACAATGCAGGTCATGATGCTCTCCCAGGAGAGAAATGTGTCTGTCACCCCTCAAGGCCAGGTGGTGGCTACTGTGATGTGCAATCTAGCTGACCGTGAATCAGAGCAATATAACAGCTCTGAACCCTGCTCTGTCCTGGGCCTGTCCCACTGTGTCTTACACACACCTACCCTCAATACCCAGTTATTTTGTCAATCCATCTCATCCAGGGTCTCCCTCTTCTGTGCTGTCCTTCTACTCTTCCAAGTATGATGTCCCTCTCCAAGGACTATTCCCTCCTTGCAACAGGCCCAAGTATGTGAGATGGAGCCTTAAAAGAACAGCTTGGTTTCACCCTCTCTAGGGCAGACCTGTTAGTTCTTCTGACAGTCCATGGTATGTTCAATATTCTTCTCCAGTACCACAACTCAAAATTATCAATTCTTCTTCTGTCCTCTATGGTCATTGTACAGCTCTGTGATGCTTAACAGGTAATTGCAAAGACCATGGCCTGTATCAGACACACCTTTGTTTCTAGAGTGACAATGTTGCTCTTCAGTACTATGGAGAAGTCCCTGACAGCAGATTTTCCTAATTCAATTTGTCTTTTCCTTTCCTGACTGCTGGTGCCAAGAGTGTTAAATGTGAAACCAAGCAATCTGAAATTGTTAACAATCTCACTATCTTCTCCATCTATCACGATGTTGCCAATTGGCCCTGTGGTGAGAATCTTCGTTTTCTTTATATTGAGTTTCAATCCATACTGCAGACTACAGTCCTTGACCGTCTGCAGCAAATGCGTCAGGTCCTCCTCAGTTTCAGCAAGCAAGGTTGTGTCATTGGCATGATGCAAGCTGCTGATGAATCTTCCTCCAATCCTGATGGCACACTCCTCCTCATCAAGTCTAGCCTCCTGAATGATCTGTTCTGCACACAGACTGAAAAGGTATGGTGGCCCTGAACACTCAAGTGCCTCTCAGCTGTTAATGGGTATAAGACCTCTGAGCGGGTCCCTATGAACTCCCCAAGAATTTCAGACTATCAAGAACAACTTGCTTTCCACTGTTAACGGGTGTAAAACCCCCGAGGGGGTCCCCAAAACTTCCCAACAATTTCACTTTCATGCTATCAAGAATAATTTGCTTTCTTTAAAAAAAAAAAAATTCTTTACCTTCAAAACTGGCAGAATTAGATTCTGAAATATCTGTTGGCAAGAAAACTTACCTTGAGAGGAGCTAATTAGTAGAAAATTTGTCAGTCTTATAAAATCGAAAGGATTAAATACAGAGACAGCCTGGTCATTAGAAAACAGAACAGAAATCCCAACACTTAAAAGTCCTGCCAGAATGTTCTCAATGAATTCCTTCCAAATGACCGCACTGTTAAAAGGCATTACCGTCAATGTTGTCACAGTAGTAAAAGTATTCATCGTTCAGGGAGGGACAGGCTGAGACCAGATCCTGCAGGCCCGCGCCGGTGACAGTGAGACAGCCAGAGAGATTCAGGTGCTCCAGGTAAGGCAGTCCTCCTCCCAGAGTCAAAACCCTGGAGGGAAAATAAGGCAGGAGGGAGAGAGTGTCAGTCTGTGAAAGCGGAGTGTCCGGGCCCAGGGGACATCTGTGTCACACCCCCTTCACTGGTAACAGTAACTTCAGAATGTCTATAAAACCCAATAGCCGAATTCATCCTACTTCACAGAACATTTCTATTTCTGCGTCCTTCCTAAAGAAGTCGAGCCCTAAAGCCTATGAGACTTCCCTTTGTAAGAACCTTTAAGAACTCCAATCCAAACTCATCACCATCGAGTCAGTTCTAAAACCCCCATTTTGGGTTCTGGAAACTATGTATCTTTCTTTTTTTTTTTTACCAAAATGACTCTAATGATGATTTCTACTAAACATTTCTGGAATAAATACCACTTCTGCACAAGCCATTATAGAGAAGGGGAAAGAGCCTTTATCAACTAACCCTGAAAGTAAATCATTGTGGTGTTCCCCAAACCAAGAGCAGAGGGAGGATTGTAAGAGAATGAAAGCTCATATACTTTATGAATGTTGTTGTTGTTATATGCCGTCGAGTCACCTGCGACTCATAGCGACCCTATGTACAACAGCCCTAAACTCCGCTCTGTCCTGTGCCAATCGCACTGTCTCTGACACTCCCATCCCAATTATCCCAGTCACTGAATCAATCCACCTCATAGAGGGCCTTCCTCTCCTGTGCTGTCCCTCCACCCTCCCAAGCATGATGTCCCTGTCTAAAGCATGATATCCCTCTTGCTGGTCTGTCTGATACTTTTCTAAATCTCAACATTCACATTGAGACAGACTAGGAAGAAGGATTGGCCATCCACTTCTGAAATAGCAGGCCTCTGAAAACCCTATGTACAACAGAACACGTTATGAATACTGATTAAAAAAAAGCATCCTTAACATACATTAGCCACATAACCCTCTCCAAAAGGTAACACATTAACCAAATGAAGTCTCTGCCAGGAATGAAATAATGCCTTTACATCTGACAATTGAATACACCACATTAAAAGCCTCTGCCTTGGACTCTGACTCAGTGATCCTATAAAGCAAAGTACAGCATCTCCAAAGGAAAGCAGAATGGCTGTGAAAAAGAGCAGGTGAAACATGAGGGTGGCTGAGTCTGGCTCCTAACTGCTTCATAAAGGGGAACTGTCTCCATCACTAATCTTTACAGTAAGTACCAAACAAACAGATAATGGTCAAACATGCCAACCCCCACACTCCTGCACCTATTTCTAGGAATCATTAGGTCCTAATGTTCATTGCTACTTAACCCACAGACTTTATTCACAGTCGTGAGGCTTATTTTCTGTTGTGAGGAAAATAGGTTGGGGAGTGGAGGAGGCAAAGAATATCACACAATGCGAGTCCATGTTTATTTCAAGCGGAAGCTATAAATCTTAACTAGGAGCAGGTTCCCCAGCTTTCTCCCTTGGATCTCCAGTGGTGCACAATGCCAGGGGACTCACAGTCTTCTGTTTACTGACTACAGCCCAGACTCCCTGCAAGGTCCCAAGGACTGTTAGGTCTCAATATAATGTCTCGATGATTATCATGTTTCAATTCCTCTAAGAACTGAGACATTATCATAGCACAATTCTCTTTTGTTTTTATATTGGTTAGCTCACAGAGTTCATATACATTGTGTTTCACACTATTCTTCTTGTGTTTCATACAATCATTCTCATGCATTATGTTATATATAGCAATCACCATTGGACCTACCCATCATGACCCAATCTTTTCAGGTCCCCACTGGATCCCTCCCATGTCCTTTACCCCCTCCCTCCACCCAGCAAACTGTGCCACCCAGTGGTCTGGCCCCTACCCATCTTCATCCACCTGCTCCCACCCGTATCTCAATTCTTAAAATTCCTCTAAGAACTGAGACATTATTGTAGCTCAATTCTTAAGAGGAAAAACCAAATCCTGAAGTGTAATGTTCCTACTGTTCCTACAAAATTATTCGGGTGTAAAACTGTATGAAACACAATGCACATGAATGATAAAATATTATCCAAGTGTAAATTATCAAGAATAGCACTGAAACTGTAAACTGAATGATCGGTTTGGCAGTTGCTAACAGATTTAAACAGCACTAACAGACTGTGGACCCATTTCCCCCGAGTCAGGGTCCACCCTGGTGACCCTCCACTGGGTTCCCCAGGGTATAAATCTCTAGAGGCGCTCACCTGTCTTCCTCCTCATGCACAGGAGCTGGTGTACGCCAATGTTTCAGGTAGCAGTTCCCTACATCAGCCACCCCATGCCAGGGACCATCCTATGACCTAGAAGTGTCACCACGAGGCATAGAACTGTCACTGTCACTACACTGGAACGGACTCACAGCTGACTCTCCAGCAGGCACTGAGAGGCTGGAAGACACACACACACACACACACACACACACACACACACACACACACACACGGAGGCCATTCCTCTTTGTCCTGTGAGCACCTGGTGACTCTGAACTGGCAGAGAAGCAGCCCCTCTGGGTCAGCAGTGCAGCCCCCCGTGGACTATGCCACCGGAGCTCCTCGGACATACAGAGGCAATAAAGTCGTAAGCACGTTCACAGGTAACAGGACACGAATGTTCACAACAGCTCTGTTCCCAAGAGCCAAACAAGAGAAACCGTCCAGACGTCCAGAAACTGATGAGTAAGTAAAGCATGACCTAGCCATCAAGTCGAATGCTATAGAAAGAGAAGGGAATGAAATACTGATAGAAGCAACATCAATGGATCTTAAAAAGAAGCCCCCAAACCAGACAAAATACAAACAAAAAAAACCTAAGGTAAATACAAAGAGGCAGTCACAAAGGCCACAGTCAAGTCACCTTCTACTCTGTCCTTTTGGAGAATGACCCATCTCACTTCCACGGTCAGTGCAAAACCTTTAAGGATGCTAACCAAAGAGTCAAAGTGTGAGCTTGGGCACACCCTCGTGAATTTACAGACTCTCTCAAGAGCAGGGATGTCATCATGTGACAGTCTGCAAAACAATATAAAACGTGTACAATGACCCTGTGTGTTAAGGACGTATATCGGCCAGGAGGTAGAAGGCAACACGAACAGAGGCTGTGATGGCTCCGGGGACGCCGTCACCCTGGCTGGGCCTTGGCTCCCGGTGGTGTGACAGCTACCTGACAGCGTAACCTGGCTGCTGTGTAAAGGATGCAGTCATCACCATGTGATCGGATGCGGCCACCCTCCATTTTTGCAGAACACTGATTCTTGCATGACAGCTGGTCTACGAGCCTAACCAACCAAGCTGGTAAGGAGGACGCGTACACTAACAAACTAAGCTGGTAAGGAAACCGTGTACAAGAAGAATACACAGCGTTCTCTCCCCCCACTCCCGTTTTCTTCATTTCTCTAAAAACATAACTGATTGTGACCCAGCTATTCCACTACTTGGAATATACCCTGAGAATATGAGAACTGAGGCACACACTGAGATTTGTACACCAATGTTCACGGCGGCATTATCCAACATTGCAAGAACATGGAAACAGCCCAAATGTCTAACCAAAAACGAATTAATTGAGAAATTACGGCACATTCACACAACAGAATACTGTGCAGCACGCAGGAGCAATAACCTTGTAAATTATTACCTAACTTGGCAGGGACTGGAGAGCATTACGCTGAGTGAACTAACTGCGTCCCACAAGGATAAATATTGTATAAGACCATTACTGTAAAATGAGTATAAGGACCCAGGAGGGGCGAGAGAGGCTGGAAGCAGAGGGATGTGGATGTGCACGGGGAAGAGGGGATTAATCATTGGGTTGTACAATTTATGGGTGGGGGGGTGAGGGAAACTGAAAGAATTTGTTCAAATTTGTATTAGAATTTTGTAAATAAAATAATGAAAAGAAAAAGTCAACTTGGCGAGGGGGAAGGGAGTGAGGGGGTAAAATGTGCAACAATGAATGAATGAAAATAACTTTTCTGTAAACTTTGTTAAAATGGCAAAATAAAAAACTTTTATTAAAAAAAAAAATAGAGGAGCTCTGGTGGCCTAGTGGCAAGAAGCTGCACTGCATTCCCAGAGGTGCACGGTTCAAATCCACCAGATGTTCTGCTGGAAAAGGAGGGACAATCTCCTCCTGTACCAGTCAGATCTGATCTGACAGTGCACATACACAAAATAATAATAAAAAAATAAAAAATAGTAACAAGGTACTGTTGTTGCTGGGTGCCTGGGGGTGGGTGGGTCGGAATCGGAGAATGTGGGTGTTAACAGCAGGAAACACGCCTGGTCCTGCCTGGCCTTGCGGCTGTTGCTGTCGGGGCCCAGTCCTCCAGGCACGGTGCCGACCCAGCCTAGAGAAGGTCTCCCCTCCTTTCAGTGACCCTCCACTTTTATCAAACATGGTAACCCTCCTGGTGACACATGCAAAATACGCAAGATAAACCCTCACAATCCTTGGCTCTGAGGAGCATTCAAAGTGCACTTTCAAGGCAGGTCCATTCAGTCCTACAGGCCGTGAATATTCAATATCCTTCACCAAGACCATCAATCAGAGGTTGGAGGACTTCCTCGGTCTTCCTTCTTCTCTGTCCAGTTTTGCCATGCATATGAGACAAACGCAAACTACGGCTTAGTAAAATATCCTGGCTATGGGAATGTTGGGGAGAGGTGATGTGATTCGGAATAAAACTTTAAAAATACAAAAAAATCTCGGCTGCTTGGTCCAATACCAAGTGGTGGGCCTCTGGAGACTGTCCCTCGTCACCCTCTGAGAGTAGAACAAAACTGATCAGTGCAGCTTGACTCTGAGAGACACAGATGGGCCTGTAAGGAAGCAAAAGTCTAAAGAGTAGTTGCCAAGAGCTCAGGTGGAGAAGAGTTTATGCCAGTGTGAGGTGGCAGGTCAAGAATTTAGGTAACAGGCTATTTTTAGTCAATGAAAAGCAAGACTGCTTTCATTTCTACGAAAACTACCATTGAGACGCTTTAAACAGGACATTCAGCAAGTCTTTTTCATCCATCCCACCTT